CCTTCCTTCCTTCCTTCCTTTCTTTCTTTCTTTCTTTCTTTCTTTCTTTCTTTCTTTCTTTCTTTCTTTCTTTCTTTCTTCTTTCGTCCTGAGAGTCTCATATGAAGGGCAGGCTGACCTAGAACCCACAAGCCACCTGTCTGCCTCTCAGTGCTTGGGTTACAGACTTGAGCCACCAGGAACCACACACACACATGCCCCTTTTTAAAAAATTGGTTATTTTGTAAACTGTGCGTTGCCTAAAGCCCTGAGTTAGGACCCTTTATCTCTTATTTGCGCTCCTCTCTCTGGATTCCATTCCTTTGTGAGCAAATTCTCCCAAGCTCTCTGCTTCTGGACTGTGCCTTACGTGTCTAACTGAAACCTGCTAGATTTTCCCATAAGAATATTTGTTTTCTCTTTCAATTTCTCAAACCTCCCTCATCCCTTGGTGAGGAAGCAAGTGCCCTTGCTCCCTAGTACCACGTCCAGACACTTACTACTTTCTCTTTGGCCATGCAACCTTCTATATTCCAGTGTTGCTAGTTTATACTCACACTTATTTCTCACTACATCCTACTGGAAGCCCTGTTCTCTGGGGCCCTTAATTGCTCCATCTTGAGGTGCTATCACCTCCACTATGTGCCAAGATGCCACTTCAGGATTACACCTTGAGACTTAACGTCAGAGAGAACTGCCCCATCAATGAAATCCAAAATTCAAAGCTTTATCTAAGCCTCCTTACCTTGCTAGTTCCCTCACTCAATTTTCCCTGCTACTGAGGACTTGAGGTCTCCTCACCACTGTTTTGTCTCTGTTGATCATCCTGCTTTCTTCAGTTCTTTTTCTTTTCATTTCTGCTTAATAAGACAGTTCATCGCGTCAGTCACAATTTGCCATGTTTTCTTTTTAATCAAAGTTAGTGGGACATTCACAATTCCATTAATTCAACAGCTTGCCTTTTCCTTCCTATATTGATTTTCTGAGCATGTTTAGATTAGAGGGAGAAAAATATACAATCAGGAGTCTAAATTGGTCGCTAACTCAAGCCTCTCAGGATTATCCTTCGTCCCTTCTTGATTTGCTTAGTCAGACTTATCATTGCTATTTGCCACAATGTCTGTGCCAAATTTTCTTTTATCAACTTTCTACCACTTTTATCAATTTCAGCAGGCATTACCACCTCCTATTCACACATGAATGGAATATTAGTAACAGCTATTACACCTTTTGCTTCTTATAGTCTAAGTATTTTCCATGTGTGCCATTAACAGTTTAACACATGAGGAAACCCAAGGGAGAGAATTTGGAACTTGTCTCAAGATTATATAGCTTGCATTATCATCTAGGGTAGCAGTTTCAAATGTTTTTGTCTCAGGAAACTTTTAATACTCTTGAGCTAGAAATGCAGCTCAGGTGTTCAGTGCTTGCCTTTACCTTTTAAAAACACTAATAAGATTTTTAAAATATGGTTATAGATGTTGATACCATAATAAATTAAAATTGATAAAATTTTAAAATGTTTCATTTAAAATAGTACTGATAATTCTATGCCATGTGAAATTAAATAGTATTCACATGGAAAAATGATTATACTTTCCCAGAAAAAATATATAGTATGAAACTGTTCTGTAGTTTTCAATACATTTTGAATATAATGCTTAATAGAAACAAGGTGGATTCCTATATCCATCACCCCATAAAACAGCATTTTGATGTTGCCCTAATCCCAAGATATAGTTAGCCAGAGAAATTGCAAAGAAACATCCAGGTGGAAAATAAGGATGTGAGTATCATTGTGCCTTTGTAAAATTCCAGTGCCATCCAATTTTGAATCATTTTTTGCCTCAAACCTAGAAACTGGCAAGGAATTACAGCTCATAATTGGAACATTATCCATGTACCCCTGATCATGTGTTACTCTATTAATTCTTCCTTCCTCCTCCTCCTCTGCCTCCTCCTCCTCCTCCTCCCCCTTTTCAATGAGGCCTAGTCTCAGTAAATGGCTCACATTGGCTTTGAACCCCGAGTCCTACCACAGGTGCTCAAATGTTGGGCTTACAGATGTGTGTCACCATATCTGGCTTCTTGATTACTAATAATTATACAAATTGAGCAGTATCCTTATTTTCTGCCCATCCATTTTGCTTCTGGAGACACCATATTCTAGCAATCATCTCCTTAGGTGGCTGTGGGTCAGATAACACCCCATGCTGCCCCCAGTTCTTGCAATTCATTACAATACTAGTACAAAGTTATATTAATCCTATCCATAAGCCCAGTGTCCAGAAGTATCTATGACAGGATCTGAAGGAGACTTCTATGTGTGTTCAAATTCAGGGAATATTAGAGATTTATCAGGAATATTGGACTACATCCAGGCGTCAAGGAGTCAGAAGAACTGAAAATTCAAGGTTTTTAGATGTCACAACCCAGCTTATTGTTTCTGAGCCTCGGTCTGACCATCATTCTGACCTTGTAATAGCCATGCTTGCTAGGGTTTGTGGTTAATCTCCTTTGGAGCTCTGACACATTTATGATTAAGTGCTGGCATGTTCCTCGGCTTTTTCTCCCTTCCTACTGCAGAATAAAAGCCTCTGTATTTCCTAGTAAAGAGACTTTTTCTATTTTATAGTTCCGTTTTAAAATTCAATTAAGGAGTCTTTGGCTTTTCGCTATTTCCAAATAATTATTTTTTACTTACCAACAGCCACTGCAATGGCTTTAATATTACCTTTTCCCTCATATTTTTTTAAATGCTTGATATACTGCACCCATTAGAATATTACCTTCTATTATAATACCACTCCAGGTTGTTACTGATGAAAGTTTTAGCCACTGAACTTTGTTCCAAGAGCTATCTGTCTTATATCAGTTTCCAATGAGAGGTCCTCATGCCTTCAGTCTCATAAGAGATACTGGATGTTGACCATTCAAACATGGTTGAGACTGTTAAAGATAATGGGAACTTTTAAAGTTAGACTAAATGCATTTTGCATTATCATATGGCCACGAGCTTATAAGGGCCAAGGAGTGGAATGTGGTAGTTTGAATGAAAATGTCTCCCACCACATGTAACAGTATAGATGAGCCATAACAGCATTGTGCTGAGTGAAAAAAGCTACAAAAAGACAGTTACCACACAATTCCACTTCAGTGTGGCTATCTGAAATAGAATTAGAGAAACAGAAAGTAGAATGCCAGTTGCCAGACTAAAATGTAGGGTCATTAATCAAGAGGTCTGAATTTTCAGGAATGCAAGACGAACAGGTTCTTGAGATCTGCTCTGCAACACTGTGCCTATAGATAACAATCTGTAACATGCACTTAACACTCCATTAAGATAATGGATAGTAATGGGCATGGCAGCATATGCCTTTAATTCTAGCACTCTGGAGGCAGAGGCAGATATCTTCAACACTGAAGCCAGGCTTGTCTACATAGAGGGTTCTAAGCC